AATATAGCCTTGAATGTGTCTTTCAAGTGTCTCGTCTGGGTTTCTTGCCTTGAAACCAAGAAGAAAACAACGTCTGCGTCTGATTAATTTATTTCTGCCAGTCCGGTCCATCAGGCTGCCACACAACAAGACCTTGAGCGTCACCACAAAGTGAGAGCCATCAACACATTTTAACACAAGCCTTCCATCTGTGTACACAATTTAAATGTGTATTGTTTAGTTAAAACTCACATTTTGGCACTTTGACAAAATCAAGTTCCAAAAAGCTTCAATTTTACTTTTTAATTTCATTCTGTTTCATTCAACAGTCATTCAACCTTCAGTTTCTGGTCAGCACAAAAATATTATTTGCCACCAGAAATGTGACTTAATGGTCATAATCGTAGAAATAAGCAGGAAGAACCTGCGGAAAGTCAGTTGATGCCACGCTTAAAGTTGCACTAATTTTTATATCAGAAATGACTATTTCACCAACCAAGAATTATCTTTCAGCTGTTTTCTGGTCCACAATCCTTCTTGCTCAGCACCAAACGTCAAACAGACACAGTTAGCGACTAGCTGGTGGACACAGTGGAGCATTTAGAAGCTAAAAAAGACAGATGTGTTTTTCTCAGGAGTTGGTGGAGACTAAAACAGAGCAAAAATGAGAGTAAATGTTGGACTTACACTTATAAAGTAGCCAGAAACACAAGTCCAAATTAAAGTTAGTGTTGCTTTGTGTCTACTGGATGTGGCTTTATAAGCCCGTCTTGTGATTACAGGTTGTTCCGCTGCCCCCAAGTGGCCAAAAAATATATTAAAGCAGCTTTAAGTCTGAAGACGAGTGGAGCAAATTATCTCTGGACTTTTGTCAAAAAAAAAGGGTATTACTATGAGAAAGTACCTCATTCATGTCGGGGGTGAAAAGTAGTTTTTAGGTGGTAAACAAAGAGCAGAATCAATTAGCCTCCAGTTAACAACTCACAGCTAAGGATGGGCTTTAATCCATTTCATTTGCAGTTGAGTTGATTACATAATTACTGCTGCTAAACTGCTCAAACTGCTCCTGAAAATGAGCCTGTCTTTAATTTCAGTTTAATTGCTGGTATATTGGCTTTGATGCAAGTTCTCAGTAATGATCTAATAGAGTTCACATCTCACACATCCAATTTGTGGTCTAAATTTAAACGAAAGAGCCACCACATTAGTCTAATTTTAAAACTGACACCCTCCTTTTGACTCCAGTATTGAACAACAATTCAGTGTTTGATGCTTCTTCTGTTTCCATCCTATTGTTGCTCTGTCCCGTCCTACATCTCCTACATGTACTAAATTTCTCAACATTATACTCAATTCTATGTGTTTTCCAACCACCAGGAGGCACTGCAGCTCCCCTGCATGATTTCAGTGTACGCTGTCTACGCTGATGATGACACTTCTAAGGCAGTAAAGTGAGTGGAAATTGGGGTGGGACATTTCTTAGAATTGGAGGGAGGATGAAACACACACACACACACACACACACACTCACATATATTGCCTGTGTGGTTGTCAAGGTAACCAAGGGGACTAGACTGATGACAGCAGAGTTTAAAGGAGGCAAGGGAAGAGAAGTGTGTTTTCTGTGTACAATTAAATGAGTTTGTTAGTGACTTTAATTGATTTTACTGTCCAAATTTGTAATTAAATCTTCTTTGTGGCCTGATTATGTCTCGTTTCCCCTAAATATATTTTAAATTATACTAATGAACTTGTTAAAGTAAATAGAGTTACAGGCTGATAGGGAAAGGTTGATGCAGATAAGCCTCGCTTAAATGGAACTAACTAGCTAAAAAAAGGAAGAAAGGCATACAGAGCTGCCTTAAACTGTGTGTGTGTGTGTGTGTGTGTGTGTGTGTGTGTGTGTGTGTGTGTGTGTGTGTGTGTGTGTGTGTGTGTGTGATCTTTACATCCGGGGGAGAATTGGGTGAAAGGTGAGTTCAATCTTCCACCTCGAGTCTCAATGGAAACCAGATGGCTGACATCCCTCTCTCTCTCTCTCTCTCACACACACACACACACACACACACACACACACACACACACACACACACACATGCACACAGACACGCACACACACAGGTGGACACACTTTCATAGTAGCGTGAATCTCACATGTATCTCCAGTGTGGTTCTAATTTTTGCCCATACTGACTCTCTGACTCTTCCTCGACACTCTCTACACATGGTGTCACTTTCTGTCTCATGTGTACACACACACACACACACACACACACACACACACACAAAAAAAAAAGAGAGAGAGAGAGAGAGAGAGAGAGAGAGAGAGAGAGAGAGTCATCATGACTCTTTTTGTTATTTTACTTGAAAAGCTTACAAACCTTTATATAAACTTTTTACATTGTAATGCGATTGTTTAACTCAAATGTGTTGAAAAACTGATCACATCAAAATAAAGTTTGTGTTATGTAACAAACTTCTACAAGTTATTGATTAAGCACCTTTAGTAGTACTTTTAAGTGACACTGATTAGTTTTGTAAGTTACTGTAAAAGTTGTGAAATCCCTGACAGACACAGCTGATACCACCTCAGTAATGTTTCTATCAGTCTCCTTCTCCACTCATCTATGAACATGTGATTAAAGCTTTAACACTGGAGGCTATTTGTTGACTGAGCAGTGATGTAAACTGTGGCTGAATAAAAGAAACAAAAGTTGAAACTTTCCCAACAGAACTCTTCAGGAATATCATTCATGAATATAAATACTGTTGCCTGGTGATTTGTGCCAATTAAATTTAGCTTAAAGGACCAGTGTGCAGGATTTAGTAGCATCCAGTGGGGAAGTTGCAGACTGACCTTCCTCTTCCAAGCGCAAAGGAGAAACTACGGTGGCAAAAAAACCAAAACGATTGCCCCTATCTAGAGCCAGTGGTTGGTTTGTCTGTTATACTGTGGTTCAACATGGCGGACTCCATGGAAACCTTCAGTGTCTGTAGATATAAAAGGCTCATTTAAGTAATAAAAACACAACAATTCCTATATTCAGGTGAATATACAATAATTAAAACATACCTTTTAATATTATATTCCATGAATGTGACACCCTGGACCTTTAAAACAAATAACTGAGAGATATAGCTGCATGATATGAAGTGGCCTTGTTCTCTGGGACTCCCCCTGGTCTAAATACATTCAGCAGTAGGGTTACAGGGAACTGGCACCACCCGGCACAGCTCGGCACAGTGTGGCACACAGCAGGCCGATGTAGCGCGCTTTGGCTCGGGGTATCGGCACCAGCTTGGGCAGATGGTCTGCGGCGTGACAAGGGGGGAGCTGGTGACGCAAACATCGGCGAACAGCTGAAACAACCCACTAGATACAGGTGGTGAGGTGATCCACTCCCACACACACACACACACACACAGAGGGGCGCACAGACCGGGTGAGTGTGTGTTACATAACTGAGGGTGAGGGGCTTCGCTGTCTTATCTGTGCAGGGAACCTACGATTCATAGCAGTAGTCATGGAAACACACACGTTAGGACACGCAACCATTCAGACACACGTGTTCAGAGAAAAAGCTCCCACGTAACTGCACTATACTGTACGCGCACTAACACAAACACACTGTCACTGTGGAGCTGATGTCTGGACATAGAAGCTGTCAGAAGGGTCTGAGTGCCTCCCAATGGTCTGCTGTTGCACTTTCTCTTCTTTATTATGAAATATCTCACACATACAGGCAGACAGAGGGCACAGCACAACATCAGAGGAATTAGGTACTATAGATAAAATGAGCATACTTCATGAAATATAAACTCAACTTTAATCTCAACTCGCACTGGGGGGGGACAAGAGGAAATTAATATTACATGTCAGGCTGCAGGAAAACGTGGATGTAGCATCTGTGGGGTTTTTGGGGGGGGAATTTACCACCCTCCACCGAATCCGGCCTTTGGCGACAGTGTGCAGCCTGGGGGGAGCTGAAGAGGGATGAGCACGCAGCAACCATGACGGCTGACTGTGATAGGCTGAGATACCACTCAAAACGCCAGTCACGGCAAAATGATGGTTATTAAAGGAAAAGGTTTTTTGAGTTGCTGTCAACAAATTCCATGAAAAGACCAAAACCACAGATGTAAATCCATCTCTCAAATCTCTCCAAACCCATAATGTGAATTTAGTTTATTTATTTGCATATTGCAGTAGATATATATATACATATATATATGTATGTAGATATATATATGTATATATATGAAAGTACCTCCCCTTTATAAATAGAATCATACTTTAAAAAGAGAAAAACAGATGATACTATAACAATGTTTACCAGATGAAATATATTAAATCCATGTATTGTTATGAATCTTTGCTAATTCAAGACCCTTTCATATAGTTTTATGAATAAAGATAATGTAGATATTGATTGTAGTGATGGAAGTAGTGTGATATATAGAAGAGAAGATAAATGTTTGTATTTTCTGAAGAGAGGAGCAGATGAGAGATTTGGGGCTGCTGGACGGTGTATTGCCCATTCACGCTAAAGAAGGAACGTGTTTCCCAGCGCAGCAGTGTGGATGATTGTGTTTTTAATAGTATTTGGACAACAATACAGCTATATGGCACAAGAGGAATAAGACACACAGGCAATATTTGTACAATTATTTGTTGGTTTTGGTCATTTTCTGGGATTTGTTGACAAGATGAACCAGTCTCATCTTTTCTTTAAGCCTTAATATCTTCCTAATGGAGCAATACACGTTATAAACCATCAGAAAACACATTAGAAGACATTAGCTAATGTAAATCTAACTTATAGTGTTTAACATTGTTCATTCATATTTTGTGTTACCTTTTGTACGCACCTCTCTGTGCTGTTGGGAGGGTTTTTTTCTACAGTCAACCTCTAGTTGCCAGGTACAGGTAAAAAGCACTTCCCACATTAGCTTCAACAGTGTGGCGGGTGCCGCCTGGTTTGTAGTTTCATATCACACAGCAAGACACCAGAAAAGCTCTGTCAGTGAGTAAGGATAAGCCTTTATTGGTGTTTGGAGGGAAAAGAAGCCAGAACACATATGCCATCATCCCTGTGGACAGCACACAATACTGGTGAGGAGTCGGGGTAGTGTTGCGCTCATGGGACTTGTAGTTCATAACAGTCACAACATGGAGAAGTTATCTGAGAATCCACAAAATTGAAGGAGAAATAACATGGCTGTGTACATTATTATTCTTGTCATTATTACCCGCAATGCTGTTTTCATCGTACAGCAGTAAATTGTCACCGCCACCATGTGAAGAGTGGGCCTCAAACGGCCGCCAGAAAAAGTTGCAACACGCTCAACAACACAGTTACATAGAAAAATAGCACTGTCAAAAAGTTTCTGAAACGTCTGTGAATCAAAAATCCCAGATATCAAAAAAGAAAAAAACACATGGCTTTCTTCTTCCACCAACAGATGGAGACGTAAGAAGCTCTGAGACTTTTCTTCCAGGGATTTAAATTCAAAAGTTTTTGTCTGTGTATCAGGTTTAAACAGACCCCCCCCTCCCCCCCCCCCAAAAAAAATGAATCAAACAAGAAAAAGGAAAATATATAGTGTGTAAATATATCGGGGATACAACTACAGCTCCCATAATACACCTGGGGTTCACTTAAGTCTGCGGATGGTGCCAACAGCAAACTCATGGGAAATCAAGTGAAAAGTTGTTCTGGGGAATCAAAAGGGGATTTATGCAAGAATCAAATCACAGCTTACTTTGAAGAAAACAAGCTGTTGCATGAAACTGAAAAGAAACGTATAACAATAGCAATTACAACACCAGCAACCGTAAAGCAGGCAACAAGAACTTTTAAACCTTTAAATAAGGTTTAGTTGCCATCTCTAAATAAACCGTTCACTAAGCCCCTCCCCCAAACAGCAACTGTCCAATCATAGCTCAGCGACGGCAACTTTTAGGGCTTTTTTTTAATCTCCTTTCCAAAAACTGTAACATTAGCAAGCATGGTTAACTACATAAAGAAGTCATTTAGAACTTTTTAAAGGAAATACAATAAAGCAAAACCAGAGCAACACTGCTCCGTGTCTTCCTGTGGTAGCCTCAGTGTTTCAGCATTACAGCCTGTATGTGGTGCATATTGATGATCCCTTTTAGAGGGGTCTCACCGACCTGGAAACATTAAAGGTCAGCCGGAGACAGAATAATGTTTTGCTTAATTAACTGATCTCCATCTTTTCTGTCTCATCACACATCATTACAGCACATTAGCATGATGTAATGCATGTAGCCGTTAAATGCATGTTTAAGACCCTTTTAAACATTTCTCATTATGCATATGAGTCGGTCTCCAGCTGCGTTTTTACAGTTTACGGCTGAGTAAATGTTAAAATATGTATAATGTATGTATAAAATCTAATGAGAGGCTGCTTGTCCACTTGTGTCTAAAATCAAGGTCCTCTTGTTTCAAAGAATACTAATGGTTAATCTGTCGCTGTGTCCAAAATCAATCCCGTTACCGATTGGTGTCCAAATTCTGAAAGTGAATTTTATTTTTATTTATTTAATATAAATTTGCACAATGAAATAGAAAAAGTTGCTTTCTGTATTGCGTCAATACATTTTTAAAGATGTCAGTGATGACAAAATTCATCCAAAATCTCAATTTCTTGCTCACTATTGAGTAAATAATGGAGATTTTATTATGTAGGGAATGAAGTGAACAACGGAGAGATTTCAGACGATGGAGTTGAGTTCTCATTTTAGCCGGTAATAAAAAGATCGTGGACTAGATCGAACAAGCTGCCTGTCTGACATTAAAGGAAATAATTTAGATTTTCGAGAGGTAAAACCGCCACTAAAATGGAAAGCTTGACGGCCGTAGCAACAGTAACTGAAGGGGGCGGAGCTTAGTGAACGGTCACTTGGTCTGAGGAGAACGTTTTCTGCCCCGTAGTGAGTTAGTAATAAACTGGGGTTTAACAGAGTCATAACAATAAATCCCAACAGCTCTGAAATGCAACAAGAAAAATAAAATATTACCCCCCCATCCCCAAAAAAACAAACAAAACAAACCACAGATTCTGTGATCCAATCAAAGACTTTTTTGCGTGTTTTTTTTTTTTTAATACGTGTATTTAATACCTCAGACAAAAACACCTGAGAAAAAACTGACAAAATGATTCAGATGGGTTTCTCTGTAATATATTCAATTATGTATATTACAACTATAATCACATAATTCAAGCATATATCATATACATATATATATATCTAGTGAGAGAATAGTTTAATATTCAATAGTACAGTTGTATGGTACAGTAGCAGTAGGGTGCATTTCTCGTTTCTCATTGGGTAAAGTTTGAAGGAGAGGTATAGACAAGTGTTGTGTGTAAATCTATATACGATTTATCGATACAATATGCAACAAAAAAAAGGAAAAATAAACTAAAAAGAAGGAATAAAAGACAAAGAAAGGGTATAGGCAGTTCAGTACTGTGTTTGAGATGTAGGTATGTCTGCACGTGTGTGTGTGGTTGGGGTTTTTGTGTGTGTTTGTGTGTGCGTCAGGTGAAGGATCAAATCAGATCAGCACCATAGAAGTCCATAACAACATCAACAACAACAATAAGGGTTAAAACCTGGGTGAGGACTGTGTGTGTGTGTGTGTGTGTGTGTGTGTTTGCTGTGTGTCTGCATGCTGAAGGTCTCAGTCACTGTTCAATCTGGGCAAATCAACCCTAAACCAGTTAGTATTTCATTTTTGCACTTCCTGGACAAATTCGAGGAGTAAATAGAGAGAGAAAGACCGCAACCGTGTCGTATTATTGTTAACAAATTGTGTGTCCGAGTGTGTGTGTGTGTGAGCAAGACACCAAACTAAATGCAAAAAACCTGCCAGCGAAATCCTCCACCTTATATTCCTTAAAAAACATCTGCTCACATCCAGCTGTTCTGATGGCTAATTACTTCCTTGCTTTCCTCTCTCTCTTTTTCTCCTTCACCTTTGAAAATAAAAAGCCCTGCGATTATTCAAAAAAAAAAAAAAAAAAGAATCAGACACGGAATCAAATAGAAGATAACGAATCAAGTTCTTCAACGAGCCCACAAAGAAAAACAAACGAACACAAAAATTTCTTAAATCTATACAATTTTTGTTTCACCGTCTTCCTGCTAACGCCCCGCCCCAAAGATGCCGAAAAACAATCGTTACTAAGATACCTGGCCTCGCCTCACACCTTGTAAAATACCTGATTCAACCGTGATACATTCTCTGTTGCGCCTCCTCGGCCTCCCGACTAACCAGCTCCGTGAGATCGAAAATAGATTATTTGTTGTTTAGCAAGAAACAGCTGGGAGGAAAAGCGTTTCGTGTGGCCCCGTGACTGTCCAGCTAACAGCCCCTCCCCGCCCCATATATAAAATATACAAAAGATTATCTCCAAAATCCTTCTCCTGACTATCTCTGCTAATAGAAAAATATACAATAATCCTATGTCAAAATCTCTTTGCGTTATGGACGAAAACCCTGCACCTCTTCCTCCTCCTCCTCCTCCTCCTCCTCCTCCTCCCTTTGCTGGACTAGTCTTGCCTTCCTGCCCAGTTCAAAAATATACATGTTTTTTTTTTGTCCTATTTATAGAAAAAAATTACACATCTGACCTCTCCTGGCTTGTATCCGTGCCTTGAGCTTAAAAAGTGAGATTTCACTGGCATAATGTGAATTCAACACCCTGTTTGAACTGGCCCGGAGCAGCGGCCGGGACGCACTACCTGCAAAAACGCCGTGCGACACCGACCGTAAGCACAGCACCGAGGGTGACGTAAAGCTGCCGAGGTGACACAAGGTGTGATACAGTACGTTGTGTGGGTTCAACGGAGCAGCATGTACAAAGAGAGTCAAACTGGAAAAAATGGTGTCGCTGTGCTTTCCTGTCGTGCCATCCTGAAGCACAGCGCTCACACTAAAACACACTTTTTTCGTGTTTGCGCCCGGTGTCGCACAGCGCTTACTGCAGATCTACGTCGGCCTCCTCCCCCTTCGCCACTTCAACTAAAGTGCTGCTGTTGTTGGGTTGCCTTGTACCCTTTTTCTAATTTCCTCCTCCCCTCCCGCCCCTTTCCTCCTTCATCTTCCTCTTGTTGTTCTTCCTCCTCCTCACAAGTCTCCGTGTCGACTCTCGTACTTGTTGATGATGTTCCTGCAGCGGCCCAGCTCTTTCCTCATGTCTGCCACCTCCTGGCGAAGGGCGGCGTTCTCCCGCTCCAGGAAGGCGGCGCGCACAGAGATCTGGTTCTCCTTCAGCCGCCGGGCGTCCCGCGAGCGCTTCGCCGCCTCGTTGTTCTTGACGCGTCGGCACCAGTACTTCTCGTCCTATCATCGGCGGCGGTGTATGGTATGTTGGGGTGTGTGGGTAGGAAGGTGGGGGGAGGAGAGAGGACAAAAAAAAAGAGGAGAGAGCGGTATGAGAAGGGTCAGTTGTGTGATGAGAGAGAAAGAATGAAAGAAGAAGAAAGAGGGAAGGAGGAAAGGTAGCAACAGCTCAATACTCATAACTGCAGAACACAAACACTACAAGCAGCTGCCCGAAAAGACCAAATTATGTAATTTTATACCATGGCAACGGAAAATAGTCAAACATACCTCTTGTCATAAATTACAGTGTGTTAAAGAAATACAGGTTGTGTGAAGCTAAGGCTCTTTGCACCTGTAATTGGTGGCCATGGTATAAGAGCAATAATACACTTAAAGATGTTCTAATCTAGAAAATAACGTACTCCGCCTCATCCGTTATTTTCTCATATTGGAACACCTCCTCGTGTTTTATTGCTTTAAGTACATATTGGCTGTCAACATGTGTGAACAGACACTAAAATCTCACATACACACACACAGACACATAAGGAGACCAGAGCTTAAAACAGTTTAAAAGTTCTAAAATCAATAATATTCAATAATTAATCAAAGGTGAGATGGAGAATGATAATGACTCAAGTAAAAATAGTATTAAAACATCTTCTGTCTCAACGCCGCTGTACAGTCCCGCCCTTCTGAGCTGCTCAGCTGAATGAATAAATACTCGGCGCTGCAGATACAAACACCCTGCAGCCTCACATAAGTCTGCAGCATTGTTATTTTCGGGGGCACGAAAGAAATGTGCTGGCGGATGAGGGTCTCACGAGAGGAAGATTGGAAACCACAGAGACTGTTGTTTTAAACTTTTGAACTGCGAGAGCAAAATACAAGTGCAAATTGAAAGTAAAACCTTGTAGAGATCTCTATCTGAAAGATTTATGCCAGTGGAATGACTGCAGGCCCGACTGCTTCGTAGAGTTTCCTCAGAGAGCCTTTTACAGGATCTGTTTACATCTGGCAAAGTTCACATCATTCCATAATTAAACTACATCATTATCCTTTGCATTTTCCGAGGGGTGATCGGTGCTTTGAGGTGAGCTTGTGCGCACTAATGTACTCTAATTCTCTTTAATGTTGGGATCCTGGAATACCTTTCACCTTTTGATCATAGCCAGAGTTTCCAACTCCTCAGTAGAAGGTATTAAAAGTGTTGAATCTAAAAATCATATTTATGAGGAGCTGCAGAGCAATCTGAGCTTCATCTCTAACTTTGGTCCAAGATCATTTTTCCAAAACCAGCGAACAAATGATTTATAAAAGCGGCTACGGCTGAACGAGGCAAGGTGATCGCCTTCATCTCTCCATAAATTACAAACGCCTCAGGAGCTGCAGCTGCTCCGCGCTGAACTATGAAAACATGAGCCATTGATCAGAGCTTCTCCTATTGTGCAATGAGCTGAGCATAAAATATTTTAGGACTCTCATCAGGAGGCATCAATACTAGTGGGCGTCACGCTCCTTTAGTTTTTTCCACATCAGTACGGGAGCTGTCAGAGAGCTGTGGCCTTTGTCGTGATGAACTTCTGGGTTTTTAAGCTTCTGCTGTGGCGTCGGCCTGAAATGAATCCTGAAGGAAAACGTTGACCTCTTTTGATCTGTGAGTGAGTCTCTATCTCTAGAAAACTTTAAAACACAGCGTCTCTCCCTGGGATCTCTTATTTTAATTTAAATGTTTAAATGGAAATTGCCATCGATCTTGAAACACAAAAGATTAAGGGAGGTGAAAAATGAAATTCAATTTTATAAAATACCCAATATAACTTCATATTTAGACTTTATCACTGGAAAAAGTTGTATTCTTGCTCTATTGCATTTTTTTATCCCAAGTAAATAAGATTTTAGGGTCTCAAATTACAGATTTCATAATATTTTTGAAGCTTTAAGACAAAAAAATCCTAAAAACTGAACATTAAAGTGCTATAACGTATTCAATTAAATATGTAGATTTCAAACTAATCATGAATCTTGACAAAGTTTGAAACAAGAAACAGATTTTCCTGAATCATCCATAAATATAAAGATGAGATCATTATCATTTCCACCTGCCTGTATTTGCCTCAGACAGATCATAAAACCTGTAGAGGCACAGATATGCGAACCTTCTCGATTACTGAATGGACAGTTTGTATTTTGGAGAATAATCACAAACACTAGTCTGTAGAACAGCAAAGAATTGTGGGAGATGTAGTACCTTCTGCTCATTCGGGACCAGCATCTTGCGGGCTTTCTTGATCATCGGCTGGGGTTTCAGCTCCTCGTCGGAGAAGCGGTGCCGCCGCGGGTCAAACGCCTCCTGGCCCGGCACGCTGGACAGCGCCAGGTCTGCCGGGTCGGGGTCAAAGTTCACCATGATGTCGCTGCTGCCGTTGGCACCCGCCGGAGGTCCGGGAGGTCCCGGAGGGCAGGTAGAAGTGGGTGACGGGTCCTGAGGCACCGCCTGACCACCTGAGAGGGAGATAGAGAGAGAGGACGACTGTAATTACCTGCAGAGTTCAGCACAAAATGCATAAAGCTTTCATCTCAGCCTCCTCCTGTAGGGTCGGATTGACAGAAGACATTACTGTCATGGGATTGTGTCTTCTTAGATACGACCAATACGAGCTGCCAGAGTCAAACTAAAGTGCTAAACTCGATAATATTCAGTCATTTGAATCTTGCAGGATGGGGAGTGTCAGCAATTAAGTCGAGTAAATGCAGTTCGAACTTGAAACGATCTCCTTGGTCATTCCCCTGATCTGCTGATTATTCTGTGCAGGCTGTTTTTTGTTATTATTGGCAATTTCTGATAGTCGAATCAATAAAAACACACATAAATCACAAGAAAAGAGAGAAGGGGGGGGAGGTCAGGGTTAGGTTAATTGCTGGTTTAATTGTCTGTACAGTTCCAGTGAATTATAATCTGTTTGACAGTCCATTTGGATGCAATAAACACGGAATCAGCAGGACTGGCTTAATTACTCGTTTAGCTGTCCAATCATCTAGTTTTATCTGCAGATTACAGCCCATCTGCCCTCACCAAGGACGGTTACATGTCAGTGGGCTAACACGCTAAAGATGGCGTGCTGATCACATCCAACCTCGACTTTCGGACGTGATCTCAGATTGTGTTTCAACCAGCGGAGCCAAAACATGGTAACAATGTTGGTGTGGTGTCATTTCCTTTTTACAAGGACTACAGCTGGCAACTGGAAAGGAGCAGGCTGTACAAAATAAATATAAATATTGTTTAAGGGCATTAAAAGTACTTGATTTAAATCTATTCTATAACAGCACAAAAATAAAAAACTGCCTAAAAATGAATAAAACAGTTACATAAAAGGCAACTTGTTCGTGTTTCGGGTCCTACTCAGATCAAACTCTGTACTATGAGGGTATGGGGTTGAACTCATCTACAGGCCGCTGGCTTCAAAGTCACATGTGCTGCATACTCGAGCCAAGAATGAGGCCCTCTGTGATGAGTTGACCATAAAGAGGATTACCCTATAGACAGCGGACAATATGTTCAAATTGAATTCAAAATGGAGGAGAAGGGGGAGGAGGAGGAGGAGGAGGAGGAGGAGGAGGAGGAGGAATGCGAGTGCTTTTGCTTTTCCATCAAATCCGCCCACATCTTCTCCCTTAAATGTTTTTTTTTTGCCCGTTTAATGACAAGTGAACAGCGTAAGGCTTCATATTCTCACTTTAAGGAAACTACCAGCTTCTTCACTCTGCTGCTGCCTGCAGTCGCCGCAGCGATGCTGACTCGCCACCGGGTGGCGGTGTCGAGCCAGAAACGCTCAGCAGGGCAGCGGGTTCACATCATGCTGGATTTACAACAGCAGGAAAGATCAGGTTTGTGTTTAACCCTTTGTGGTGCTTCATGGGAGAAATGGTGATCATGTCTGAACCACAACAAGGAAATAAAAGAAATCTGATCTGGAATCAGATCCCTTGTGCCTGCTGAAGCATTTAGCTCTATATATAGAAAATGTCAGAGCTGTTTTTTTCCTCATCTGTCAGATTCCAGCAGGCTTTAATAGGAAGATGTTTCATTTGTGGCACAATAATGGTGTTAAACATCAGTGCTATGGAATGAAATAAAATAAAGTTTACAATAGGAAGGATGAAGTAAAAAGATGATGTGGTGCATTATCAGTGTGACATAAAGCTAAATCAGTGCAAGCTATTCCTGAGTGCTGCTACTAAATAGTGTAGCAGCGAATGTAAAACTCCTCTGTGATGCTTTTACCCGGAAGCTATTCTGCATTAGTGCTGCTTTTCTTTTCCGAATATAGAACCAAGAACAGCGAGTCTATTCACAGTCGTACCTCTATACCAGCTTATACTGCTGCTAATGCTAATTCAATTTAAAGGTCTGATAACTGGGGGGAGGGAATTAATACCAAACAACAACAACAAGAAAACCAGATTTTTCCAAACATTTCCTCTTTGGAATACAAGTGTTAGTTGAGCAATCATCCAGAACCAGTCTGAGCTCTATTGTGGCAGCATTTGTAAGACGCTTTTTTGGAGCTCCGGGCTCCGAGCCACAGATTATAAATAACTGCAGAGCTGGTGACCAATATCGACTGAAACTGTAGTGGAGAGATTTCAGATACTTGAGCAAATTAAAACAGAAAAGAGACATGTTTACAGCACATAATTTGACTAGTTATTTTTTTTACCAGCAGAGATGAGAGGAAGTGATGTCGTCTCTTTGACAAACTCCTCCAGAATCCCTCTGATTAATGATGGACTGTAAAGATTCAGCATGAGTGACGCATCTTTATTTAAAAAAAGATCTAGTATCAAATCACAGAAGCACAGAAATGTCCTCAGCCGTCAGGGAACCGGAACGTTTCGTTAAATATCAGTCAGAGCGGCACGACTGGCGCTGATTTGCTACTTGACTGCTGCTGTGAGCTGTCAGTCATTTTATTATGCGCGTCGACCGCAGATACCACAACCAAAACCTCCACAGGCTCTGAGGAGTCAGACTGATGCTCCGTGGCAGGCGGGGGGTGGCACATTTGAGGGGAAGTAGAACGGTCGAAACACCCCCGTGTTCCCCCTGAAATCCAGCTGAAAACACTTGATTTCACACTGAGCGTGCAGTGCTTGTATAAGAGTGGGGAATTCTGGGTATATAAACTTTGTGAATGGTGGTTTTTGAGTTCAATCTCTGAGATAAAATCTGTCTCAAGTAGTGGAAAAAAAGCTGGACTCCTCAGAGACAAGCAAAGGAACCGACATTCACAGACACTTTTACACAATTTGTAAGTTTTGTGAGCAACTAAATAAAAATATAACCACGTTTCCTACTTGTGTCGACCACTAAAAGGTATATCTGAATGGTTTGTCTCCCCCAGGTGAGAGCTTGGATTTACAGAAACTCCAGTGTGACATGAATGCACCATCCTTCTCTAGAGTTATTATCCGTTATAGCTGGTTTTGGTCAAAACCAGAGTGGAAAAATTGACTTTTTTGTGTGTGTGTTGGGGTATTATGGGCTCCCGGTTGCAATTAGACCGGGGCTTGTCATCAAAAGTCACATGCACTCAGAAATACAGTAGCTTGATGATTGGCCAGAGTCTTGGCAACCTGTCGCCCTGCAGAGTTTGAGATTTTGGCAGAAGAGTCTAAACCTGATTCCTCTTCTCTTGAAGAGGATTTCCGAGCATTTCGGTGTCGTAATCAGATGCCACCGGCGTTCAGATGCTACTGTTTGTGCCAAAAACAAGAAACTGAACTCTGCAACCTGCAAATAAACTGCCCATGTGATTCTGCTCTTACTGGTCAACTTACTCCCAAAAAGTTACTGTAAACACTTACTTATTTATTTCACATGTTAACCCATTTCAGTCCTGAAGAAGAGAAGGAGACCTGAAAGCAACTATGACCCTACTACCCACCACTAGTGTTACCATATGAAGGTTTTTTAAGTGATTTAATTCCTCTGGTAACAATGTTTCCTTTATGCATGTTCCTGTTGTGGAAATTAAAATTAACTTTGTCCAAACTGCCAGAGTTTTTAGACACAACGCTCTATTGTTACAGTGAACTCAACGACATCTGCAGCAAGCATCACCTGTTTTTATTTTCTTCCCTGTAAATAATCTGCCCATCTTGAACCTGAATCTCGAAAGAAATCAAAAAAATATTCAGCAGCAAATTCCATTAAATTGAAGCTGCTGTAGAAATAGTTAGGAATGCACTGGATGACTGTGTATGTAGAAGGGGTAACTCGCACTGAAGAGCAGTAAATGTCTTATGTTCCTCTCTGCTAGCATTTTAGCGTCTTTCAGCTCATTGTGCAACTGTTTTGGCTCAGTGTTCCCGCTCTCAGCAGCCTCGTGTTCAGCAGCTGTTTTAAGCAAAAAGAAAAGCTCCCTGCTGAGCACCAAGTAGTGTAGAGTAGCTTGTGAACACAGTGGAGCATTTAGCAGCTAAAGAGCCAGATACTTCCCTCAAGAGTCGGTAGATACCAAAAACAGAGTGAATGTTGGACTTGTATTCATCAGGTGGCCAGAAAACATGACTCTAATTAAATGCTCGCGTTTCTCTGAATCTGCTGAATGTGTAAATAAGGAATTTGCACAAACACTTTTGCAAAATCAGATTCATTAGGTGATATTATGTCAATGTTAAGTTGGTTTCCGCTGCCCCGAAGTGGCCAAAAAAAATCCGTTATCGCAACTTTATGGCCTTTGTCAAGCAACATTTGCTCATTTCCAACGTGACTGTGAGGATTTTCTGCTCTTCTCTCTTCATGTACTTGGAAATTGAGCATCTTTGGATTTTGGACTGATGGTCGGGCATTTAATGGATCAAATAGTAAAAAATATATATATATAATAATATTTTAAAAAGTACAAACTGTACACATGTTTACGTGCATATTCACAAAATCACCATGAACCTCCCATAATGCAATGCGCCATATATCCCCCTCTTTATCCGTCCATACGTCCCCTGGTCCATCTGTTTGTACGTGAAGCAGCGACTCCATCGGATGAACTGCTGCTGGTTTGATCTGACTCTGGCAGCTGGACGGGGCTGATCCTGGATAAGTCTGTCCTAATAACAACCATTTTGGGCAAAAAGTTGAAACTGATCCAAGAACACGGATCCCGCTGCTGCCGGATAAACAGCCGCCAAGCGCGGCTTCGCCTGGCTTCATTTCCTGTCTGTGAGCAGGAGCCATTTGGACGAAGCAGCCGCTGACTCTCGGATTCTCTCTCTGCTTTCATTAATTTAGCTGAGATTATGTGTTTTTCTCTTTTCCGCCTGTCACTCTGCCTGTCGGTCTCTGCTTCTCGCCGTCTCTCTCTCTCTCTCTCTCTCTCTCTCTCCTCTCTCCTCCAGTCTTTGGTGTGTCTGTGAATTTCACTGAAAGCCTTGTTTATAGTAATATATTTGGATTAAAGCAACAAATTCTCGATTATTTTGCTTGTGTTGCCGTTTTC